AGAAATCAGAGGAGCATAAGCAACGAATGTAAAAACATTTCGCAACGAGCTTTGTCAGAGACAAATCAAGAGACAAAGGAGTTTTTTTTAACCCACCTTCAATGTTAGCAGATGCCTCAAGAGACAGCCTGAGATTTTATGGGATTTTAGTGGATGAAAGTAAGGTTATGCTTTTTGTAAGAATTGAAATTTCCAAATTTTAGTCTTCTTCATCACTATGTGTTTTTAAACAGACAGTGAATATTAGAAAATGAGCCAAAAAGTTAAATTAGCTACTTGATAGGAAAAAGACATTTGCGCTTGTTTTTCTTGCTCATAAAAATTGTTTACTGATTCTTCGAAGGTCTAAATCTATTCGTGGACAAGAAAAAGATAGAAGCTATGAAATGTTTCCCACATAATTACCTTAATACCAATGGTAATATTTAATTATACCAATGGTAACAATTGTCTAGCCAATACTGGCTACACAATTATTTCATCATAACAGCCCAATCAGTGAGTCAAAATTTTTATCCCTGTAATTTTAAACTTAACAAACAGTATTTTCTTTAAACATTGATATCATCATTGACGTTAGTTTTCCGTCATGGACCTGTGTTAGCAATGTAGAGAAGCGCGCAGGAATTTTCCTTGTTTACTTCGAGCCTAATTTTTTTCTTTAAATTTTATGTTTCTCCAAACATTACAAATTAACAGTCCTTAAGTGGAATGTTGACCGGGTTCGAGCGGCGTAGAGTCTTACGAAATATTACTTGTAACATACCTGCTCTAAATTCTGGCATCCGTATGGCTTAAATTATAGGATTTATTAGCGAGTTGAGCACATAAAATGAAAACACAGCCATTAGAATGTGAAAAGCATAATTGGTGGGAAGGCTGTATAGTAGTTTAAAATCAAAAGCTGCTTCACCCCAGAATATCACAAGCGGCAGGAAAGTTAAGAACGATCCGAATGTGACAAGAAACATTGTACTCCCTCAGGCCGGCTGCACCATGGGGTTGAGCAAAACGACCACCACGAACTTTGATATAAATAGAAACATGGCATGCAAATATAACTAAAGAAGAATAGAAATATATGAGAAAAGGACCGAAGTAATTTTAAAGCTGACGTGATTGAAGTTTATTAGTCCAAACACTAAAGACATAACGACTACAGGGACTAATCAAGTAACAGTTATAACTACTCCAGAACAGAACGATGCTTGGAATGAAAAAATGTCGCGTGTGTTCGCTCTAATGAAATAAAAACGAGGTTAAGAAGCGAGACTTTATCAATATTATACCCAGTAGCCCTCTAAAGTCTCTGAGATCTCACAATTAGAGCGCTTAGCGGAGGCGTGAAGCCGGATTATAAGAGTCTTCCTTACAGACGAGAAAGAATGCGTCAAAGGCGTAATTCTCAGTCTTATTCTCACAGGGAGGATCCCCTCCCCTGCCAAATTCCTGGAAAGACGCTAGTGCATCAGGAAACAACGACAAAAACTACACAATTTTATCTGACAGACTGATTCACCCATTAATCAACACTCTGTGTTTACTTGCGGTGCAAAAGGTATCAATTGACCTCAAAATTTCTTAAAATACTGTAGACTCTTGAGCAGACTTTGAAGAATTAAAAGGTCTCCGAGATCTTGGAATCAGAAATATCCGTTCCCATGC